AAAAAAAAAAAAAAAGGAGGAGGGGTGTAGGCCCCTGAAATTCCTAGAGGGCCCAGACCCAAGGCCCAGGACATATCAGATTGGGCCTATTATAAACATATCTCTGATAATGCTAGCTCATCAGCCAAGCCTTCTCCCCAAGATCAAGAAGAGGTGCTTTCAAGGGTCAGTCTCAAAACATGACTTGGCAGGGGCTGTTCCTCCGCAACATGAGGAGCTGTTTTAACAACGAGCCTGCACATCGGCACATTCACTTGAGCCACTAAGGATGTAAAAGAGAAGCTTCTGGGAAAAGACTCTCTGAGAAGTCAGAGCAGCAAGGACCTCACTTAGGTACTTCTTACCTTACCATATTGCCCAGCAATCCCAGAACCTCAAAATACTGACCCAAACAACCCAGTAACGGGAGAAGTGCCCCAATCTGCACCAAGTTGGCACAGCTCTATAGCCAGGGCACCTGGAGCATGACAAACACTTAGATGATTTTTAGCTGATAATGATTAGAAATGGAGCTCCAACACTACAGTCTGGTGGCATTAATTCCAACACAAAGGTTTGTGACCATGTGCCCAAGTGCCAGCCTCTGTGTCCAGTTGCTCAGATAATGAAACTGTTATTCCTGACCCTCACCTTTTCTCTCATCCAATTTCATCATTCCCCTAAGAAAAGGTTTATTTTAGAAACAGTTTAGTGTAAAAGTAGCACCAGGAAGGAAGGAAGGGCCAGTTTGTATTTACCAGCCCTCTTTCCCTACCCTAATAATAGCTTTATAATTTTTTGCCTTTGTATGCCCGATATTGTGTAGGATATCAGACAGGGGCTCGAGAAGGACTAGAGATAAGATGTAGTCTCCACTTTGGAGAAGTGCATGGACCATGAATGAAAAAGATAGGCAAACAAATAAAGAACAGTACACTGTGATAAATATCTTAGTGGAGGGACATACACAGTGTTATGTTTTTCCATTTACAAAAGTGTGGTTTCACATATTCTTTTTTTTTTTTTGAGATGGAGTTTTGCTCTTGTTCTCCAGGCTGAAGTGTGGCGTGATCTCAGTTCACTGCAACCTCCGCCTCCCAGGTTCAAGCGATTCTCCTGCCTTGGCCTGCTGAGTAGCTGGGATTACAGGCGTGCACCACCATGCCCGGCTAACTTTGTATTTTTAGTAGAGATGGGGTTTCTCTATGTTGGTCAGGCTGGTCTCAAACTCCCGACCTCAGGTGATCTACCTGCCTTGGCCTCCCAAAGTGCTGGGATTACGATTGTGAGCCACTGCACCCAGCCTCACAGACATTTTCTTACTTTACCCCCCTTAATCCTGGAAGATAGGTCGCATCATCATTACCATCACCATCACCATCACCATCATCAGGTCATAAATCAATACTATTAAGCATCTACTATTCACCAAGCAGGGACTGGCTGTAGACACAGAGATGAATACAATGAAAGGTGGCTCCTCTCTGTGAGATGCTCAAGTCTGGGCAAAGAGTGGAGAGGAGCTGGCCTCCAATGTTCTCCAAGACACATGGAAAATGCAATCATTTTATTCCTTCCATTTATCATTGTTTACTATGTGGCAGATACTGTGCTAATAGGAATGATTTCATTTAATCCTCCTAACTCACGAGGTGGGAATCATTGTCATCCCTTTTTCACAAACTAAGGCCCAAAGATGTTAAGTTACTTGCTCACAGTTATACAGCTTGTGAGGTACAGAGCTGGGGCTCCAAAAGGGAAAAATAAGACTGAGACCTAAAAAGAGTAGGACTAGCAGCTTTCAAAACCTGAAAGGTCAAGAAAAACCTGGTTCTCTTAGATTAAAAGGCTATCCTGTAGGGAACTCAAGTCTACTATCTCCTAGAAAGAGAGGCTGCTCTCAAATTTTAAGAGCAATGAATGTGGACTATCCAGGCAGAAAAGTTTTAGAGGTTTGCTACTGGAAAGCCTCCACCATGGCTGCAGTAACACAGATAGCACAGATGGCATCAGGGAAGGCAGGAACCATGCGTCTTCAGTGTGATCTCCAGTACCTAATTCCTATGCTGGCACACAAGCTTCACTCTCTCAACTTCTGTAGGGTAAACATACGAAAGGGCTGCTAAGTGGAGGAGACAAGCCAAGGGCCTGGCTGTACCGGAAGACACAGGATTCTCCACAGAATCAGAGAGGAGAATTGATCTGTCTAAGATGTCAAAGAAGGTTAGTGGTACAGCCAGGATTCAAACCAAGACATTTAACAGTTCGAAGCACTTTCTACTAGATCTACTCTCATCTCTAAGTGGTTTTCTCCCTCAACTACTACAAACCA